CTATAGCAAATTAAAAGAATAATTAAATACCTGTAGAGAAGTCAGCAACTTCTGAAACCACACAGTGTAATATTCTTGGAAACGCTCAGAAACTCCACTCTTCACATGTAACCTATATAAATGATCAATTAATTTCATTATAATAAAAAAATCTATAAAATAAGAATTACATGAGAATATTTATACAACATTAAACATATATGTATACATCATTAAATAATCACTGATATTCTTTTTAACATATATTTTATGTTTTAATTTAAAAAAAATATATATATATATATATATATATATAAATATTTGATTTTAAAATATGAAGGTAAAATATTAATAAAAATATTTTGTTTAATAAAGATCTATTTTAATATTCTACATTGAAAATATAAATCAGTCAAACAATTCATGTGACTCTATATTAATCAAATGGCTCATAAAGTGTAACTTTCATTTCCCCCCTTCAAATTATATTCTAACTTCAAATCTAGATCTTCAAATTTTAATCCAACAATCATAATTTGTTTAACTATCTTAATTTATGTGTTAGTATGACTCTTACATTAGAGAATCCAAGTTTCCATAATTCTATTGACCCATAAATACTTTATGTAACATGTCTCTTTTCTCTAGAATTTTTATCACTATATAAATTATTTCTTTATCAATTTCTAATCACCAATTTTAATAAAACATTTCATCCTTGTGTCTCGTCCGTGACTCTTGTCTAAAAATCAATTTTTCACAATAATAATCGCAATGGTAATGTATACACATTTCAATTACAATGTTTCTCTCTCTCATTCAATACATGCAATATCCATTGTGTCATTTACACAAACATCTTACATGCAAAACTCATTGTGACATTTTCACAAACACCTTACATGCAAAAACCACATGCCACACAAAACACACCATAATGTAACATTATCAACACTAAATCAACACTAAAACAATACTATCAACACTATAAACTAAACCAAATGCAACATTATATATCAACATTATCAAATATATCAAAAACCACACCTAGAGGAGAAGAGAACCTTGGTTGTGAATGGAAGAAATGATGAAACGATCTTGAATGGAAGAAGGATGAGAACCTTGAAGAAAGGATGCAACGATTTTTCAAGAATCAAACAAAAAATCGCGTCAAAGTGGGTTTTATTCGTAACTTTACTGTGTTGTGAAAATGGGTTTTGCAAAATAATAACGTTACTGTGTTTTATGCTGGGCGCATGTTTTATTTTTTTTATAACATGACTTTAGGCAGCGCTTGTAGTAGAAAGCGCTGCTTAATCCTCCCCTTTAGGCAGCGCTTTAAGAAAGCGCTGCTTAATCCCCCTTTAGGCAGCGCTTTGTAAGTCCACCCTTTAGGCAGCGCTTCTCCAAAGCGCTACAATACCTACCCCTTTTAGCAGCGCTTTATAAATTCACATTAACCCCCTTTAGGCAGCACTTTCATAAAGCGCTGCTTAAGCCCACCCTTTAGGCAGCGCTTCTAAAAAGCGCATTGTAAGCCCACCCTTTAGGCAGCGCTTCAGGACCTACCCCTTTAGCAGCTTATCAAACAATATTCACCCCCTTAGGCAGCGCTTTTTTAGAAAGCGCTGTCTAAGGTATAGGACAAACTTTTCGTGTTTTTAAAATGCACTTTTAACAACACTTTTGATAAGAAGTGTTGCCTTAGGTGTGTCGTCTAATCTTATTTTTGGCGTAGTGATCCCAGCTTTTGTCAATTTCTTTTATTTTTCAGGATAACGCGCATGTTTATAATAGATTGATTCATTCCTATTCCATATCACAAACAACACTATGACACAGTGGTAGAAGGACATATTGGTGAAAGGAAGGGCGTGGGTTCAAGTCCCACCCCATGCATTTTGTTTTCCTTATTTTCTAACCTAATTTCTATTCTATTTTACTAATTATTTTCCAATTAATCTATTTTCTAACCTTAAACTTCTTTTTAAAAATTATAACAAATTAGGATTAGGATTTTCTAGTTAGTAAATAAATTTTTGACATATTTTTCATTTATTAATTAATTAAGTTAATTAGCCTTTTCTAAATATTAAAATTAATTAGAAATAATTAGGTTTTAATTACTACTATTTATTAACTTAAATTTTTTTATACAAAAAACATTAACATTTTTCTAACATTCTTTTTTCTCATCTTTTGCTATTTAAATTCATGGGAAAAATTATATAGGTCGCACTCCCTGATGTAATACCGTAGATTTATTTTTTCGCATCTTTTCCTATTATGTAACTGCTCACAGGATGTAATAGCTTAGATTTAATTTTCCGCACATTACATTTTGCACTTTAATTTCTTGTACATATTTAACTGTTAGTAATTAGGGTTTGCATGACAAGACTAAAAGCAAACATAGAAAACCTAATTTTCAAGACTAAATAACTGAAAATACACACTCTTCACACTTGCACCTCTACGGTAACCTCACTTGTTGCCTTACAAATATTGGTCATGTCCCTCGAATATGGGGATACTTTAATAAAAGACCCTCGATTTAACAATATCATCATGATCCCTTTCGAATAAAGATCATAGCCCCTCGATGACCCTCCGAGTTGTTTACAAAACGATGATAGTTCCTCTGATATAATTGCTAAAGTATCCTTACATGTTGCCTTCGATGACCATACGATGACCCTACGCATGCCCCTTCACATCCAATAGATAAGATTACCTGCCAACTAATTCTATGGATAATACTATCTTCAAAGGAGAAGAAAAATAACAAGAAAGACTTTAGCGTGTAAGAACTCTTAAATGCTTGTTCACAATCTTTTTTCACAAAACAAATGCATTTTTACACATCACTTTCAAACAAATATTTTCAAAAAACACTTTGTATACATTCTTGAGGACTGATACAAGAATCATTATAAAGTTAGCCTTACATTGGCATTTCAAAATATTTTTAAACAAATCACACACGCACAAAGCAAGTTTTTTAAAGTGAGCTGAATAATTAAGAGCCTGTAGATAACTACAGATGAAAATGGTGCTAACACCTTCCTTTTTCATAACTTACCCTCCGAACTCAAAATCTATCAAAGGTTTTTCCCGTTCTTTTCACATTTCCTAAATATTGGATAAAGAAAAGTCGGTGATGACTCTTACTAACCGCAACATTTGCGATAAAACAAAAAAGTCAGTTCTCCCACCGTATTACACATAGAAACACATAAATAATTTAATCGGTAAAAGTAAACAACGATAAAATATTGAATAAACATATTATATATGTATTGAATCGTATAAAATTTACATTGTGCACATCAATACATTTAAAAATTTGTTCGGTTACATTCTAAAATACACTGAACCATTTGTCATCACTTAAATCTAAAACAAGGTATTTCTTCGACTTCTCCCTAATTGTTTTTGAATCAATTATAAAGACAGTTGGAGGTGTGTTGAACAACTTGATATTTTCTGGATGCATCCAAAAAATGTCACAGACACTGACTTTATCCTCACACAGTTTATACCTTGAAACATAGTGGTTATCGTCCAAAAGTTTCAAAAGTTATTGTACTTCGAATCCCGAACCTCTATTCACACTGTTTATTTGATAACGTTCATAATATACTTGCTTAATATTTGAAAACTTTGTGGTCTTTTCCATTTCAAATTGGCAAGTATGTTTCTCGGCGCAACTTTGATTATCGACATCTCTGAAATAATATCTTTCTCATTCGGCTTAAGCCGACATACAATTAGACAACCTTGTAATTTGGTGTCCAATACATGATTATGTATACCAAAAATGACATTCAACAGTCACATATCATCCACCCTACAGTATTCGGGCAATTTAAACGGACACTCACATTTCCTTGATCCAGTGTCTTCATGTTTCAACTTCCAAATTTTTGGAACATATTTTTCAATTCTATCACATACCATCGTTGCAAATGCTTCCCTTTTACTAGTGCAATTGTCAGACCTTCCAATCACAAAGTCAAACCCGAGTTTGCTAGCTTTCATTCTGACCCACTCAAGCATATGTTGACGAACACTGAAAATTTGATTATTTGTAAATTGTTGCCGGACATCTATCTCGATAACAATCGCTTTAACGTCATCCTTCACCTATTCCGACTTGACTTCATCATTCACCTTGTCCGGAACCTTTACAACAACTTTGGAAAAGATGTCAAGATGCACCATATCTAAAACGGACAAAATAAGAAAATATGTGCAAACAAAATTCTGTTTTTTTAATAGACATAGTTTCAGATATGCACATCTGAAATATAGTAAGTGTGAGGCAAAGGAAATGCACATCTGACATGCATATCCGAAGTGACAATGGTTTTTCAACAAAACTCAACATCAATGCAAGGAAATGTGAGGCAAAATAAAGAATTTTTACCTTAAATTGTAGTTTTTTATGTTCTCTTTGATATGATAATACTGAAATTTGGTTTGAAGATGAAAAGTTGATTGAGTTGATTATGTGAAGAAATGAAATAGATGAAATAATAGTAGTAGTGATCATGAATCAAACTTATATAATAAAAGTATTTTCGAATATGCATATCCGAAAATATCATTAAATATTAAAATCTAATATATTGTAAAAGAAAACGTATAAACAAATAATTTTCGAATATATATCTTTAAATCAATTTAAAAATTGATTCTTATTTTTTTTTCTCTTTCATTTTTTTTGCGTTAGAGTACTTAAACCCCAAATCATCTACAACGACTTTTGTGCATTCTTTTTTTTCTTTAATCCAAAACATTTTAAAATATACGTCGGCGCGTACAAGAGCGTGGAAACCATATTTTAGACTAAGTTGTGTGTTTTGAAATTCGTTTGGCATTAGTAATTGGTTATCACGCGCCTACAAAGGCGGGATTCTCCGCGCTCTTAAAGATATCAAAACAACCCCAAACGAACAAACACCCACCACACTCACTTCCAACTCCGTGAACCCTCGTTTCCACCAGCAATCATCGCCATGGACGAACCCTCGCTGCAACTCGTCTCTCAAATCGGAACTCACCTCGCTCTTCGAACTCGTCCAAACAAAGACTTCATCGTCAAATCTCTTCGAGTAAGCTTCTATCCTCGCTGCATTTCGCACTTCTTTTTCTTGTTTTCATCTTCCATGAGAAAAACCTAATTCAATAGTATTTAGTTTCTGAATCAGCGCAAAGCGCAATTGATAGTTCTGTAACTCTAATTGTGGTTGAATTTGTGTCTCCATTCATCAATTTCAGTTTCTTTACTCAATTATATCTTGTTTTTCGGAACTTAATTTATAGTCTTAAAGATGCTGCTCTAAGAATTATTGTTATTATTATTACTACTACTACCATTATTCGTTGTTAATTTTATCCTCTTTTGTAGAAAGCTGCAGATGCTTTGTCTAAGTTAGAACAGTCTCCTCAGCCGGAAATAACTAACTGTGTACAAGCTTCAAAGAAACGAGATGTTGCTTTGAAGCCGCTGATTGATGCTGTGGTTTATAGTGGTTTGCTTTGTCATGAGGATAAGGATGTCAAACTTCTCGTTGCCATTTGCGTCACTGAGTTACTTAGAGTCATGGCTCCTGAACCCCCTTTTGAAGACAGGCATTTAAGGGTACTATACTTGTTAATTCTTATGCATAAGTAGCATTAATCGAAACTCGAGTCAGTGACTGCAAAGGTTTATTTTCTCCCGTTGGATAAATGTATATGTTTTTTTTTTTGATTTCAGGATGTATTTAAACTCATCATTGGTTTGTTTGCGGATCTAGCTGATACTTCGAGTCCATTATTTTCTAAAAGGGTTAAAGTATTGGATACTGTGGCTCAATTAAGGTGCTGTGTGTTAATGGTTGAGATTGACTGCATAGACCTTGTTCTCGAGATGTTCAATGTTTTCTTCTCAGCTGCGAGGTTCGGATTTTAATGCAGTCCAGTAATGATTGTTAATTTTAATGCAAGAGTTAATGGCACCTAATTTACTTTACCATTTTATGCAGAGAGGATCATCATTATAGTTTGATTAATGCCATGTCTTCTATAATGATAAGCATGTTGAATGAGTGCGAGAAAGCTTCTCAGAAACTATTGGAAGTGATTTTACGAAATCTTATAAAGGGAAAAAAAGTAAGCCCGTTTTCACTTTCATTTTAAGCTTATTCTACATATTTAGGTTTATAATACTTCTTTCATGATAAACAAGCTTTATACGTAGAAGTTGGTTGTAATGTCAAATATTGTGTGTGATACATTCTGTTTATTTGTCCACTTTTCTCTCAAGAATGTGACTGTTATCCAAAAACCGATGTTCATTATCTTTCTAGTCAATTTTATGTTGTTTACTTTTTTCTTCTTAAGGGAACCCAACGCATTTGATATGCTTTTGAAGGGCTTGACAGACTATATCTCTCATTCTCAAATTAATTAATATAACAATTTGAATTTCCAATTAATTAATAAGAATACCATTTTATTTGGCAACAGAATTAATAAGAATACCATTGCTATTCATGATAATCAGATGGTAGTTATATACTTATATTTATATTTTATTACTTCTTTTTGCAACAGGACGCAACTTGTGCTTCTTATCAACTTGCTGCATCAGTAATCCGAAATTGTGCTCAGGAGGATGAGCTGAACTCCATAGTTTGCAGCTTTTTATCTTCTTGTATATATGACAGAGACGCCGTGGGCAGCGGGCTCAAAGAATTTTACCATGAAATCATCTTTCAAGTTTTTCAGTGCGCGCCTCATATGCTTCTTGCGGTCATCCCTAGCTTAGTTGAAGAGTTATCGGTATATCCTCCCTTTTAGTCAAGTTTTAAAATTATTTACACGCTGGATTCAATTGGTCGAAATCAGTTTTTGACATGTTTATTCTGTTCCTATTCTCCTAATATATTGATATTCTTATTCTAACATTTTTATTATATTTGCAATCCATTTTGTAGGCTGATCAGGTCGATGTTCGGTTAAAAGCTGTTAATTTGGTGGGGAGACTTTTTGCACTTCCTGAACACCATGTTGCAAAGAAGTTTCATGATCTTTTTTTGGAGTTTCAGAACAGATTTTCTGATAAGTCTGTGGATATAAGAATTAGTGCTCTACAATGTGCCAAAGCTTTCTATGCGGCAGATCCTTTTGGGAGAGAATCACTTGAAATCATCCGTAAGCTGCTTAACAGATATTCTTGTTTTTATTTAATGTCTGTTTATGTTGTATATAGTTTTGTTCTGTTTTCATTTTTCAATGCCCTCAAAATTTCATCCTAGTAATTTCTGAATACCTTTCAACTAAGCAGTTTTGTTTTTAATTTTCAATGCCCACATAATTTCATCCTAGTAATTACTGATAGCCTTTCAACTGAGCAGCATCTGTACAAGGTCGATTATTAGACTTTGATGACCGAGTTAGGATGCAGGCGGTTGCTGTAGCCTGTGATATTTGCAGTTTAAACCTGAAGCACGTTCCCGTGAAACTAATGGCTGAAGCCACCGAAAGACTTCGCGATAAAAAGGCATGTGCTGATGAGTTTTTATTCTTGCCTGGTAAAGAACAAACTACATAATTCCTGACAGTCAAAATACTTTTTCAGATATCTGTTAAAAAGAGGGCCTTGCAGAAGTTGGTGGAAATATATCACTCTTACTGTAAGAAATGTTGTGAAGGAAGCATGGAAACTATTGATCACTTTGAAGAGATTCCATGTAAAATTTTGATGCTTTGCTATGATAAGGATTGCAAAGAGTTCAGGTCAGCTTATGCATTCTAGATTGCTAGTTGAGTATAGATTTGAGTTCTCCTGTCTAAAGTAAATGTTCTTTAATTGAATTTCAGACCACAGAGCATGGAATTGGTTCTTTCTGATAATCTATTTCCTGAGCAGCTTTCTGTTGCGGAAAGGGCAAAGCACTGGATACACATATTTTCTCTTTTCAGTTCTCTTCATGAAAAGGCACTGAATACTATTTTGATTCAAAAGAGAAGGTACAAATACCAATGTACTATGTTGGAATGTGAAATTTTGGAAATATTTACAAATTATTCTTTTTATATTTCAGGCTGCAGAATGAGATGAAAAACTATTTGGCTTTACAGAAGAAATTAAAGGTAAAATGCAAGGATTGAGTGATTTTATTATAACAAAGGGCAGTTCCTCTGGCCCTTTTCTATAGAGTAGACAAAATAATAATTAGTTTTTTATTTATTGGTCATTGGTGATATATAGTGGATTCAAACTAAAATTATTTATGGAAAAATAGGGTAGTTGTAACCTCAAACTATGGAGTTTGGACACTAAAAAATGGTGAAGTATCCGTGTTGGATGTGTATTGAATGTCGATACTCCTAGGATACCATTGGATACATATCTCAAAAATATCCAATTTTTGCAAATATTTTTTAAAAATTGGTTATTCGATAGGTTTGGGATATGTCTTTGTTGAAAGAAAAGAAACTCTCTCCCTCGTTATCAAAGAGAAACTCCACAACATTTGTCATGATCACAAGTATCTTTTACTAAATTGTGATCATAGGTATCATTATAGTTATACATTAATGAGTAATGATCAATGTCTTTTTTATTATAGCTATACATTAGTAAGAAATGATTAACTATAAAGGTTTTTTTATAAAATAAAATTTTGCTACCATATCTAAGCCGTATTGCAACTCGAATTCAGAAAATTTCATGTATTCACGTATCTGTGTCATATTGTACCCGACTATTCATGTCCATACTATATTGCACGATTCATCAAATTTGCTTTAAGATGACATGGAGCTAGAATTTTGGTTCTCTTGGTAGCAGAAGAATAATGAGGGTGGAGAGTAATGGTTTGGTCTGCCTACAGGTTGCTATTCTTATGGTGTAAAATCTTCCTTCATTGAATATTAAACATTTTTATTGTTACTATTTTTTTTTAACTTTGTATTTCTGTCTCAGATTGGTAGTTATTACCTAGGAACTTATTTCTTGCCAGCATCTTGCATATGGACACTTTTATACTCACTGACTGATTTGATAGCTCGGAAGTAATGGAGCCTTATTACTTTTTCAGGAAATTTGTGCTGAAGAAACAGAGAAGAAAATTGAATGTGTGTTTACGAAAATGGCTGCATCTTTCTCTGATTCTCACAAAGCAGAAGAGTGCCTTCACAAGTTAAACCAAATCAAAGATAATAACTTGTTTAAATCTCTTGAAAAATTATTGGAGGAACCAACTTTCACAATTGGGCAAACCATCAAAGTATGTTGTTTGTAATTCCAATTTTTTTGCCCGTCTCTTTTGATTTTATGCTTAAAATATAACAGTATAATGTATTAGCCATTTGTGTAGTATTGTTTAAAAATATAAGTTTGAAATTTGTACCTTTGATAGGCATAGATAGATAGACAACACATGCATTTTTAACTTATGAAAAGTATAGACCCTAAAACTACCCTGAAAATGGGATCATGTGTTTAGAAGTGACGGGATACCAAAGCAGAATCTGGGCCCAAATAGGAAATTAACACATCGACATCGTCTGCTTAGGATATCCATGCTTCTATATTTTCCTTTCATTTCAGAAGTAATATACTGATTTCCATTATTGAAATTTTTTTCTCTATTATTTGCTTATGTGTGATTTGCTTCACATCAAAAAGCTTGAAAACTTGAATATGTAATAAACATTTAGTCTACTTTCTGTTTTGCATGTATTTTCCTAATAATGCTGTTCAAATTCTCATATGAAATGAGTCTTAAAGAAAATTTAACTGGTTTTGTATTTACCTTATACAGGTTGAGATTTACTAATTAAAAGTAATACTCAATTACAGAAACATCATGCATAATTTTATTGTCTGTATATGAGTGTTTATAGGGAATTGCTAATTCTTCTTTTGGTATTTAATTAGTGGCACCTATTAAATTTTTACATTGGTGGTAGCAAACACTTTTGTTAGTTAGGGTTGGCAGATGAGAGTTGGTCTTATTGGTTACGATACAGGCCCTTGTCACATGACTATGATTTGTGGCTGCAGATATAAGTTGAGGCCCTTGTCACATGACTATGATTTGTGGCTGCAGATATAAGTTGAATCCCAATTTGAGGACGTGTAATAATGATGTAATCACTTTTCGTGTGTGAGGTGTCTTGAACTGTAATACTATTCAGATTCCATGATTCTACAAATTATTTTCATGCTTATTTATCCTTTGTGGGCTATTTGTATTTGTTTTAACCATGCTTTTCCCCTTTTTAAGTTTCTTTTGTTGTTTTTTATTTTGGCAGGATGACCTTCTTGTAATGATTGGAAACAAAAATCCAAATTATGAGTTTTTACGTTCACTCTTCTCCAAATGTTCATGTAACATTTTCAGCTCAGAGCACGTCCAGTGTATTTTAGATTATTATCTTTCCAATAATGAAGGTGAACTTAAAGACTTGAAGGGTTCTTCTGGAAATCTTCTGCTGGTAATAAAAGTTGCTGCTGCTTATTGCATATTATCATAGATTCTTTTACATTGTTAATCAGTGTTTATTTTGTTTTACGGGAGGGGAATAAATCATTCGACTCTGCTGCATGAAAATGAAATTAGCTCTAGACAATGCAAATTAGGCGGGTGTGTGTTGTTAGATCAGGGCCGAGGAATCTAGTCATGATTTTTATCTAAGCGGCGATAATACCCGATTAAATCCAAAAATCCCCTAATTGCTTTAATATCTTTGGAAATAAGCCGTCGTAAAATATGATAATACCCGATTAAACCCTGCCCTTAGATATAATATGCCCCAAGTAATCAATCTTCCTTATACCAGAACTGCATTTCTTTAATTAGTATCGTAATGGCACTTAATAGTCTTGATACATATGAGAGTGTCATCCAAAAATACAAAAACAAACTTACGAAGGTATGATTGAAGGGTTGGATTCGTAGCATATTGTAAAGTGGCTGGCACATTGGTCAATGGCATGGCATCACCAAGAATTCAAAATGACCATAATGAGTTCTAAAGACTGTCTTAGGAACATCAGCAGTATGCCTCATTATTTGCCCCTTGCAATTCATCCAATAATTCTTCAATAACAGAAAGCGAATATTTGTCTGGAATGGTCAATCTTATTGAGGGCTCTATAGTCTGCATAGAACGGCCAAGTCCCATCTTTTTTTCTTGACCAAAATCGGACTAGAAAAACCTCAACTTTTTTGTATATGCCTGTAACAATAAGGTCTCACATTCACTGTATCTGTACCCGACTTGAGTGGAATTTGGTGATCCACCCCTCTGTTAGGTGGCAGCTCTGTGGGTGGGAAAAAACAGTAGAACATTTAATAATCTTGGGTTCTTTATTGTTTAGCTTCTCGTTTAAACTCCCATATGGTATTTTTGGACACTATGGGAGCCAACAAAAATATGGCTAGCTTCACTATCAATAAAATCTCTAAACTTCCATTCAACATTTCCATCAATTTCATCTTTTTGGATTGGTTAATCCTTTCCATAGAGAACATGTAGAGCTCTATATTTTTCTATTCCATAACCTCCCCATCTCTTGCTCTGCTTTCCTTCTCAATATCTACCTCCAATCCAGTGTTTTCTCATTTCCCCCCTTCATCTTCTCCAAGTATCATAACCCTGAAATTCTTGGCAAGACAGCAATAACTAGGGATAAAGGGCTCAACACAATGGAAAGATTTTCCTTCTTTTTGCCTTCGAAGATACTTCTAGCCTAACCTGGCCTATTCCCACCCATAATGCTAGCTGACTAGGCAATTAGAGATGCCATCTGTCAAGGACACATGTGACAAATAACTAACTAGAAATGGGGTTTAAGTTCAGTCTATACATCATATTTAACATTCATGAACAGATTCACTGCCTTTATTGCGATACTAATTGGTTTGTGAATTTCAGTTTGTTGCTTCCAAAATTTATGCAAACTGCCTTACGATTTCAGTCCCATCTTCCTCCAAGATATGCCTTTTCAATTCCACATATTAGAGTCTCAATTGTGCTTCCATCTGTGTTTTAAAACCATGAAACAACCCCTAGATCTTGTGCTCTAGTACCAGTGTTTGAAACTGGTACCAAAATACAATTTAATTGTAGAAACTGACTTTTATTGATGGCAAAAAACGTTTGCAATAGAAAAAAATATTCACTATAGAGAATGCAAAACTCACACATTAACTAAGGAAAGAGATAGTAATAGTATTCTAATACAAGACAATTCCTATCCAAAAAATTCAAGAGTCTTGGTCTCTCATTAGTCATTCCATAGTAACTTTCTATTCTCATTTCTACATTTATTCCTATTGAAATATGAAAAGTTAAAGAGACATTTGATAAATTGTATGACTGAATAAAATTACGGGAATTGCATTATATAGGAAATTATACAGTTTATTGCATTAATTACAGATGTGAATATTCTATTCTATTCTAGAATGTTCTAAGGGATATTCTATAAAATATTCTCTTTTTATCTATATATATATATATATATATATATATATATATATATATATATATATATATATATATATATATATATATATATATATATATATATATATATATATATATATATATATATATATATATATATATATATATATATATATATATATATATATATATATATCAACACTCCCCCTCAACCTTGAGCATATAAGTCAAATGCACCAAGCTTGCCACATATATAATTAGTTCTGGGATTTTGTAGGGGTTTTGTAAACACATCTGCCAATTGATCATTAAAGTTGACAAACTTTGTGACAATGTCACCTGATACAATCTTCTCTCTGACAAAGTGACAGTCTATCTCAATATGTTTGATCCTCTCATGGAAGACTGAATTTGAAACAATGTGCAACACAACTTAATTATCACACACAAGTGTCATTGGTCTTGCTTCTTTAATTTGTAGTTCCTTAAATAACTGTTTTAACCAAATAAGTTCACATGTTGCCATTGCCATGCCCTTATACTCTGCCTCAGCGCTTGATCTTGCAACTACGTTTTGTTTCTAATTTTTCCCAGATATAAAATTTCCTCCAACAAGTACACAATACCCAGAGGTGGATCGTCTATCAATGGGCGATCCTGTCCAATCAACATCGGAGTATCCGACTATTTGAGTATGTCCTTTTACTTCATACACAAGACCTTTTCCTAGAGCAGATTTGATGTATCTCAGAATTCGGATAACAACATCCATGTGTTCTTGACAAGGGGAATTTAAGAACTGGCTTACCACACTGATTGCAAAAGAAATGTCTAGACGAGTGACCGTGAGATAATTCAACTTTCCAACCAATCTCTTCCTGGGTCAAATAGAGGCTCCCTCTGATTGGTAGGAGTTTGACACTTGGATTCATAAGAGTATCAGCCGGTTTAGCATTCAACAACTCAGTTTCTTCCAAAATATCCATAGCATATTTCCGTTGGGAAATTACTAGACCATCTTTAGATTGGGCCACCTCAATACCCAAGAAATATCAGAGGTTATCAAGATCTTTTGTCTGAAATTGATTCGAGAGATGTTGTTTTAACAGGAGTATTCCCTGCCGATCACTACTAGTTATGACAATATCATCAACATATACAAAAGATACACCCTTGGGCTGAGTGACGATAAAAAACAGAATGGTCAGCTTCGCTACGGATCATACCAAACTGTTGTACTACTGTGCTGAATATGTCAAACCAAGCTCTCGGAGATTGCTTGAGATCATAAAGAGACTTGTGTAGCCTACAAACCATATTCAATGACTCCTCTGGAGCAACAAACCCAAGTGGTTGCTCCTTATATACTTCCTCTTCAAGACATTTTTGATGTCAAGTTGATGAAGATACCAATTTCGAATGACTGCAATGGCTAGAAGAAGTCTAACAGATGCCATCTTGGCTACAGGCGAGAAGATATCACAATAATCCAACCCAAAAATTTGAGTGTATCCTTTGGCTACCAAGCAAGCTTTAAATCGATCAATCTTACCATTTGGTCCAACCTTAACTGTATAAAGCCAACGACAACCTACTACATATTTCCCAGGGAGTAGAGATACCAATTCTCAGGTACCACTGCTTTGAAGAACACATGTTTCATCTATCATTGCTTGCCTCCACTCAGGGTGAGATAATGCTTCACCTGGAGTGTTAGGAATAGAAACAAAAGATAAAGAAGACAAACAAATACTCCCTCAGTCCCAAAATATAGGAGAAAAAAATGTATTTTTCTTGTCCCAAAATATAAGAGAAAAATTTCAACTTTCATCTTTTTCAAGGTAAAATTAAATGTAAATTGTATTTAATTTACATTCTCTCATCTATTCTATAATCAACAACCAATTAAAATACATCTTCCTAAGCACTTTATTTCAAGAAAATCACAAATTCAATGATTATGTTTTTAATTTTCTTTAATAAGTGTGTTTTTATTTTTTCTCTCTTATATTTTGGGACGGAGGGAGTATACTGCAAAGGGAATAGACAATAATAACATAAATCAATATAATGTGGAGAAGGATTGCGTGTTTGACGTATATCTTTTCGAAGGGCAATCAGAAGATCGAACAGGTTGCGTGATCAGATCCGATGATGACGAAGGCGTTAGAGGAGAGTCTGCAATGACATCAGGGACATGTACGACCTCAGGAGTAGGTATGACAGACGTTGGTTGACGATGCTGATATGTTTAAAGAGGGCGGCTGCGTGTGGGCTTCACGCGCGTTACTGTTGGCGACGCGTGAGGGCATGTGGCGGGCTTTCTGGCGGCGATTTTCTGGGGACATGCTGGACCGGAGGCGACGAATCCTCTGGTGCGGTTGGTTCGCCAAAAAAAAGCAACGTAAACAATAGCGGCGGCGGTGAACAGTAGTAGCACGTTGGTCGTCAGCATTTTTTTAATAAAAGTGAGGTAAACCAGAATGATGACAAGGTTTTCAAGGAAAAATTTCTCACTGGAAGACAGTAGATCAACCAGGTAACGTACTTTGAAGAGATTTGTCTCTTAGTACCATGTTATTGTTTAACACAATAATTAAAGAACATAGCTGACATAATAATTGCACGTAACCTGCCATAATAAGAAGTCTAACACAATGTTTTGAAACTCTTCTCAGAAATATGGGTATCATCAATGAATTTAATTAGCACAAAAGCTTAAGACATTTTGTTTCGCGAGTGATATTTTTCCAAGAATAGAAAAGGCAATATAACTAAAATGTAGTCATTACATTAGTATAAGGGTGGCAAAATGGGCCGCTCGCCCCGCCCTGCCCCACCCTGTCTTAAGTCTGCTAAAAAAAGAGCGGGGCGGGCAATTCCGCCAAGTGGAAATGCCCATTAAAATATAGCTCGTCCCACCAAGATGGCGGGTTGACGGGCGGCGGGCTTGCCCGATTAGTTTTTTATTTATTATTTTTTTAAATTTTTTTTTAATATATTAAAAGTCTTTTTTTTTTACATTTCAATTAGATTTTTCACTTATTTTTTAGAATATTTTTTTATAAAGCATCTTTTAAACAAAATTTACTTAAAAAAATATTGCATATATTCACAAATAAGTGTATAAAATAAAACCATCAAGAATTGGACCTACTAGAATTAACTAAAAAAGGGCGGGCTTAAGGTGGGACAAGCTGAATGAATAGACACGACGGGTTTTGGCGGACGGAGGGTTTTGGCGGAGCGGGATTTGGAGGACGGTGGTCTTTCGCGGGACGGACTTTGGTGGGCGGCGGGTCCAAAATCCCAACCCAACCTGCCATTTTTTGGTGGGTGTGCGGGCCGGCCCGGCAGGCCACAGTCTGTTTTGCCACCCCTACATTAGTATATAGGTTATGTTTTTCTATTTTCTTAATCAATATGTTGTACTCGTATTCATTAATTACATGTATTCTAAACTGCTCATCTATCTAGCTGGTGCATATAGGATGTAAACCAGGCTTGTTCCATATTTAATAATTACACAGATCACACAAGTGTGTCCATGTGTAGAGCTAAAATATTTAGACTGAAGGGTAATGATTGCATAGATTACTGTTACTCTGTTACCTTGATTGCATGATTCTGCCTAATTAATACAATGTATTTTGTATACACTATTATTTACATATATTCCAACAGTTATCATGTTTGTGTGTGTATTCTATAGCATTTTCTTCATAATATGGGAAATAATCAATTTAAAAGTAGAGTTTCAAATGTGAAGTGATCCAATGACTACTTAGATATTTAGATTATTTTGGCTAGTGTAGCCAAATTAGAGGAAGGCTATTTTGTTGTCAGATCAGCGGACAATTTTTTAATTATAGATTCTTTGATTAATTCTTATTCCATTTACTCGACCCAGGCTATTGTTAGGATTTTCCCCTCACTGCTGAAAGGCTCGGAGAAGCAGTTGCAAATGTTGTTGGAGCATACAAGTCCCTTAAATGACAAGCTGTTTGAGATTATAGCAATGGCAGGTCCTAACATTTCTTTAAATCTGAGGTAGCTTATGGTGCTTACCATGTGTTTTCTATTATGTTTAAATACTTTAAACTCTGTTTCTAACAGAACTATGCATATCATAAAGTCTGCCTGAAAAAGGTTACTCTCTGATCCTACGATTTAAAAAAATATTTGTACAAAACATCATTAATAGGTAAAATATTGTCAAAAGGTTATTTTCTGATAATTATTGATAGAGGAGTATGTGCTCTTAAACAGAATACAATGTAATTAGAAAAGAAAATTCCTAATAAATAGTCATCATTGTGCCCACTGTCAATTCTGTAATTAAGGACCCTCTAATTGTACCCTCTAATTAATATTACTTGCATCACTCCTAATTCAATGCATTCTACTTTGCATTTATGATAATTGTGAATCCACCAATACTTGATAAGAATCTTTTAGTTAAAATTTCTCTCTCCTTAATTTCTACATTTTTCTTGATATTTGAAATGCTCAAATGAATCGCTCATTGTGGGACAGAGGAAGTATCTCTATTGGAAAAAGTCCCACATAAGAATAATGATAAGGTTTGAAATGAGTTTATAAGAAGTGATACCCCTCACATTACATGTTGGTTCTGTAAATGAGTTAGGCTCAATATAAAAATCTAATATGGTATCCAACTATTGATCGGCCCACACCATTTTTTCCGACACACCAAGTCCAATAGTTAAAGGTGTGAAGGGGGTGCATTGCTAAAAACTCAAGTTCCACATTGAATAAAGGTAAAACCTAAAATGAGTTTATAAGAAGTGACACCCCACACCTTATGAGTTATACCCAATATAAAACCTACTACTCTTAGTTGTATAGAAACAAAAATATGAAATTAGCTACTTATTAGGAAGAGATTGCTCAATCACTCACATTAACTACAGTAAGATGTGCTCTGCTTGAGACACACATATTACAAACATAACTTATCCCATTGAAAATAGGTATTTTTTTAGGTATTGCTGATTTTACGGCTTTACCAAGTTGTATTTTAGCTTTTCAATGGAGAAAGTTTGGCTTTGAAATTAACCCGTTCGTTATAGTAAAGTAATATTTGATTACCATTTTAATTTACTCTCTGTTTTTTTCTTTTCAGTGGTATTTATCCCTTTCTAGTGAAAATGTGCTTATGTGGAACACGCAGACAGGCCAAATTTGCAGTCTCTACTATTGTTTCCTCAAGTTTTGAACATTCAGTTGTCTCAAAATTATTTGAGGTACACATTTTTGGGTGGATATTATTTGTAGTATTATAACATGCCTTTTAGTGGAGGAAAACATCTATTATGTCGGATGCCCAATAAAAGTAACATTTTTTGTCTCTTTTTTATTTACTCAAAAATCAGATATTGATTGCTTTAGCTATCATCAAATAATGTTATAACCTGTTTTGTAGTGAAAGATCTATGCTCACTAATCTTTCACTAATTTGTTTTTGAAATCTTGGAATGATGAACCCAATAAAGATTAAGGAATTGAAAGTTGTTGAAGTTTTATGGTTTCAATTTAAGAGTGTGAAGAATAAAGACTTCGAATTATGGTTATGGTTTGATGTTATTGATGGCTAAAAGTTGTTAAATAAAGCCTTATGCTAATTCATTCAAGACTTCAAATCCTTGACAAGAATTGATACAAATCATGATGAGAACCAAGTATTGGACATTCCATCTTAATTGCAGTCCGCCCCTAGCCACCATACTTGAAGTAGTCCTTGATAGGCTTCGAAGGTTTTCACACGATGTGTTAGCTTTTGGAGTTGAATTTGGCCTAGTTCTAATTTTAAGTTTGTTTATAGCTAATTTTGGGCATTCTATTTTTGTTAGTGGAGTTGCTTGTTAATAATGACAGCTGATAATCTGTTGTTTTGTGTTTGCCCAGACACTAATTTATTCTTTGAATAGCCAATGGAATGTCCCAACGATAATGCAAAATCTGGGATACACTGCACAATGCTCTGTTTCAGCTTTTGAAACTCAAGTAGAAGAGATCACATCATTTATATGCCAGAAGCTTATTCATGTAACTGAAATCAACCATCAATAGTGTGCTATTTAAATTTATTTATGACATAATGTTGATGTTTGGTATAAGTTTTTCAGTTGCTTGTATTGTTCATGGAATAAGTTACATGTTTGACCAGATGGAGTCTTTGGATGACAATGATTTGACATCCTTGTATGGTACCTCTCAGTGCAGCAAATCTTCTCAATTGAAGGTTAGTATGACCAATCTTATAGAGCATTTGGATTAGTGTGCTTATAGCTAGTAGGTTTGGGGATTTCTATTAATAGTAGGCGATTTGCTTCTTAGTTGTTGTAACAATTGAGTTTATCTCTTTCTGTTCATCTGTTGAGACATTTTTTTTTTAATTGCCAGTGGAATGTGCCAACAATTTTGCAATCACTGGGATGTATCGCACAATGCTCTGTTTCAGATCTTGGATCTCAAGCTGAAGAGATCACATCACACATATGCCAGAAGATTATTCAAGTACTTGAATTTAACCATCAATAGTCTTGCCTGTTAAATTTATTTAGCCAGAACAACGTTGACGCTGTATAGATGTTTTTCAGCTGTTTGTATTATTCACAGAATAAGTTTCCTGTTTGATCAGATGGACTGTTTGAATAGTGATGATCTGATCTCCTTGCATGATACATCTCAGTGCAGCAAATCTTGTCAATTAAAGGTTTGTATGATGAATCTGATAAAGCGTTTGAAAATTTTCACCTGACCTTAGATGTGGATTTGAAAAAAAGGAAAATATTACTTTGCTGTTATATTTCTGTCATCTTGTGCTTCTGTTCATTCCATGTCTATACATTGTATTGATTTTTTTCAGGGTTAAAATTGCAACTAGTTTTCCTAGTGGTTATCTTTTTATATCTTCTTGCTCAATTTTAATTGACAATCCCCATAAACACTTATGTTCTTAGAAGGAATGGTATAATTTATTTGCTCTTCACTACACCCTTCGTTTATATGATTCATGTTCAATGTTCATGTCTTTTAGTATGTTTTGACATGAAAAATGGAACTAAAACTGAATGCAGCAGAAAAAGGGGCAGCAGATACGTAAGCTAAAAAGAAAAATAAATACAGATTTATGAAATTGATAATCATTATCATACACAAATTGTGTGATATATGCTTATTTGACAATAATCTTGGTACTAATGTATGAACAATAAGTTGCCTGACTTTGATTGAGATGTTGTATGCGCTCTCGAGCTTCACAGAATGTGCTGTCCAACTCCAGGATTATAGAAATTAGTTTGACCTATTTGCATCTCAATATTTTTCTCCCATCTTTTAAAAGAGGAATTTTCAAATATATATAAAAAGCTATCAGATTTGAAATCCATAAACTTTAGATATTCAATCCTGGAAATTTTGACAACATATTAAAGAGTAAAAATTAAAGAAGAATTAGAAGTAGAGTAATGAGGACTAACAGTAAATTAATCTCTCAAAATTCAGGACATTAGTCCTTTATGTATGACCAATTGGATATAGTGGAGAGTAATTTTGGAGCAATGTGTGTGGTGTAGGAATACAAGATTCAAAGTGAGGAATGGGTAGTACCAGAATGTGTTAGTGTATCTGAATGTGTGGCCAGCAAACTATTGCTATTTTGTTTAGTTAGACAGTTTTCTGTTCATTCTGTTTTGTTGTTGTAGGCGGGGTTACAGACACTTACTATAAGGGATGGATACTATTAAATACTTATGATGTTTACTAGATTTTTCTATAAAAAATTTAGCTTACGAAACAAAAGGAAGAAGGAGAATATTGTGATATGCATTGTATTTCTTCCATAATGGCTTTGTAAATTCTCTGGCTTCCTTATTTTGCAGATTTATGGGCTGAAAGCACTAGTAAAGAGCTTTTTGCCTTACCATGGGAACCACACGAAGCAGAACATTAATGGACTCATGGATATTATATCAAGAACACTACGGGAAAGTGATGGTTTCGTTGATAGGTATACATGCTTGTGGCATGACTTTTATAGTTACTTCCTTGTTTTCTTGGTCAATTTTTTGAGCACTAGTTGTAGGTACACTGCTTCTGCCTTTACTTCCCCACCATTTGAATAAAAAATGAAATTTATTTATATTTTTATTAACTTATTAGATTTTTTTTTGTATCAGGCCCATTAGTAATGCCCAATAGTTAGAGCTTGTCTATATATTTAAACTAGCTCTTGTACGCTATTCACAATTAATAATATTGAGGGGGTCCAGAGGCTTCTGTGGTAGTTTGAGTTTTTCTTTGTTGTACTTGTAACTTTGTTCCAAGCATTTTCTTTTTTATTGAACATGACACTGTTGTGATGTTCTCTATTTATCAAACAATAAGTCTAGCTATTTCAGCCTTGAGTTCTCTAAATGTCTTGATACTTGACTCAAGTGACACTAATCATATGACTTTATGTTCCTCGTATTTATCACCCTACTTTATACTCTCTGAAAAGCACCATGTTATGGTTGCTAATGGATCTTGTGCTTCTATTATTGGACGTGGCTGTTCAGCTTCACCTTTCCCCGCACTTGAATAATGTCCTACATTCCCAGACTCTCTCATAATCTTGTTTCCATATACAAACCTACATGCGTTGGGTTCTTCTGGATCTTGAGAAAGGGGGGACGATTGGGGTTTCTTAGGACTTGGGAGGTTTGTACTTCATTGTTGCTAATAGATGTGATGCAGGTGATGCATGTTCTGATCCGAAGGCACGATTCTCCTATCTTTAGTTTGATTCAAATCTGCCCATCTTCAAGTCTGTCATCAACACGAGTGTCTTGGGTATCCCCTGATTTTGTTGATTTTAGTCTATGTTGCCATCATTATTCTCCTAACAGTCTGTTGAGTCTCTTCAATGCGATACTTGTGAGTTTGTCAAACATTGTCATGTTAATTTTTCTCCTAGTTTTCATAAAAGTGTTGAGCCATTGCTCTGATTCATATTAATCTTTAGGGACTTCCATCAGTTTCTAATATTTCTAGTGTAAAATAGTTTGTTTCTTCTATTGATGGTTGTACTTGGGTAACTTGGCTTTGTTTGACGAAACGTAATATCACAAATAGTGGAAAAGTTTATGTACCTGGCAAACTCTAGACGAAACTTAGCATATACAGGTAGTGTTGTGAGCCACTTTGCATAATCCAAGGGTGAGAGTGCGGGACAGACACTTGCACATTGTAGATCATCCCTTTTCAATTTTATGTAATTTCTCAACTGCATCATTTTGAATGAGATCACATAGTTTGGTAATTAATTACTTCTTCAATAATCTATAGTTGGTTGTTATTTTGCAAAGATCTAGATAAGTCCTGGCAGGGACTAATATAAGTGATTATTTTAATGTAACTTCCAACTGATTTTTAAATCTTTTCTGGTTGATTTGCTATCTCTCTACACATGGGTTGATGTTTCACTGAACTATTAAACTTGCTTATGAACTTTGTTTTGTGTTTCCTGTGTGCAGTGAAAATGATAAGGCTCATATCAGATTAGCTGCTGCAACGGCAATTCTTCGTCTTGCTAAGAAGTGGGATTTACATATCACTCCAGAAGTTTTTCGCTTCACTATTTTGATTGCAAAGGTATATTACTGTCTCCATTTGAAATAATTTGGCTGATAGGGAAAGGATTGACTCAGATTTTATCATAGTTTCCCATTTTGTAGAGGTAGAATACTGAAAAAGCCCAATAACAAATGTTAAACTTGAAAGCTAAGAAAACATTATCTAAATGTTATTTCTGGACTGATTTTCATGTATAGCGACATTTACATCTATAGACTTTATTCACTGTTTGGAATAGGGTTCTCCACTAGTCACTGAGTTCAAGATATCCCACTTATATTCAGATAAGGCTTGCTCACCCGCTCGAATTCTGGAATTAAAAACCAAGCTGTGTGATAAAGGCGTAAAGCTAGCTTGACACCTCCTTGAGTTTGAGGGGGGGTATTAGTGTAAAATTTCCGCATTCAATTTACTATAATAGAAACTTGATAAGTTAGTTCAAATGGCTGCAGTTCATGTAGTTGCTTAGTCAGTTAGTGTCCAGAAGTTTGCTAGAATAACAAAAATGTAAAATGTTTAACTTCTTTTTGTAGTAGAACCTGTTACCACAGAAACCATTCTTAGTAAGGTTCAGATTCGATAAATAACAATTGCCAATGTATGAAGCACAACCATGGGACAAGTATATGGTGCACCATGTGAATATGTTGCGTTAAAAATTTAAGACGTGGTATTACTAATGCAAAACTAAAAATAAGAATACACGTCTTAAATGAGAAGAATCAATTTGTTGAAGTTGGTACGACTCATTCTAGACTTAATAAAATGTTAACTTTTACCTAATATTGTGGTATTCACATCTATTGGAAAAAAAATCAACAGATAAAAGTAAAAAGATAGTGAAATACTAAGCATCTAACACACGAATACATGTTTGTCACTGGTGCAGCGTGACACAACTAATGTTTTGAAGTGCGTGCTTCCTTAAAAATAGTTGTAAATACTAGTATTTATAACTCTTAGTGATAATTGTATTTGGCCTATTAGGTTTGGAATAGTCTATTTAAACAGGTTAATGCAGGTATTTTATTCATAACACTGAAATATATCAAATATATTTTCTACAAATAATAATTGATGCACCTCTTATTGTATTGCAGGATTCCTCTTCTTTTGTTAGAAGCAAATTTCTCAATAAAGCTCAGAAGTTGTTGAAGGAGCACAAACTACCTATCAGATTTGCTTGTACTTTTGCATTGGCAGTGACTGAGAGCATCGATGATCTGAGGTTTCAAGTATGTTTTTTGTTTTTTATGCATGTTAGTCTTACTATTTTTTAATTATTATATGTATTCATATTAATCTGTCTTGCTTTTTCTCACTAACCAACCATCCCAAAAGTGTAAGCTGGTAAGAAAAGAAACATGAGCGACTTTTACATTATGTCTCGAGCACATCCGCTTGTAAAACTTGTCTCCAACCCTAGTCCCCACACATTTAATAAAGTCGGAGTACTTTTAGTCCATGTAGATGGACTAACGTTGTTTTTGCAAAAGGTGTATTAAATCATTAAAACAAACAAAAAGTTGACCTATAAGCTAATAATGCCAAACATTATCCTAGTAATTAATTAAATGGTATACTAGTTACAATATAAAATTTTAGCGTATAGATAGACGAAAAGGAGTTTGCTGAATAATTTATACCTAGACATCCTAGTAATTATTATTTATCCAAATACTTTACTCAATCCTAATAATTGAATTAAAAAATGGATCAAAATATATACGGAAATACAGAAACCAATCCTATGGGATAATCTATAAGACTTATAACATGACATATTTTACAATTTATATATGATCTGGTCAGTTGTTTTAAGGATATTTTACCATTATGTAATCTTTTAAAATGTAATATACTTCATAAATTCCAACACTACAATAAAATAATTAAATAACTCCAAACTGAAAATATAATGGTAAACTTAGATAATGCAATCTACATCAGATTCTCTACTTTTACCCAAAATGCTAAATTGCAATAATTTGCGATGCATGCTTAGTTGAAGAGGTTGATGTAATATTATTTGTACCCAGCCGCATAACCTTCCACATATTTTCTCATATGGCTTTTTGGGTTCTTATTGTTATGCTTTTTAGCCTGTTTTGTTATTTGGCAGAGGTATGTTTGTGCTAATTAATGGTTACTGATTCTGTTCATTTAGAACTATAAACATATGGCAGAGTTTATTAAGGATTACAATATAGCAGCTTGCAAACGACAGCCTTCTTCTGTTCGAAGAGCAATTGTTGATTACCCTGCATACGTTATGGTGTACTTGATTCATGTGCTTGCTTTTAGTAATGACTTTCCTGAATCCTGTCAAAATGAAGAAGTGTATGCTAAGTTCTGTAGGTAATATATTATTGTTATTATCTAATCTCATTTTAGCTTTACTAATTATGCGTGAATTTTAGAGCTAATGATGTTAACACATCTGGATTTCTTTTGTAGTCCGCTCTTCTTTCTCATGCAGGCATTGGTCGATATCAGTAATGTTGATGGTGACCTGGAGCTTGTTAAGGATGCTGTCTTGTCTCTATTTAGCATTTTTCAAGCATTAAAGAAAGCTGAGGATTCTGTTGATGCACATACTACCATTGTAAGACATTTTCAACATGTTCATTAACTACTGATTTTTGTTGTTGTTGTTGTTTAGTAGAGGTTTAATTTAAGCGTCATGTAATGCAGAAGCTGCACAAGCTGGCTGAAATAGGTATATTTACTTTAAATGCACTAAGTCCTGTTGAAATTTCTGTATCTCAAGCCCCACGACAAATTTTGCTTCCTTCATCATTGTATAGAGCGAGTCTCCCTAACAATGAAGTGAGTTTGCTGTATAAATTCCTCTGAATGAGACAGATTTAATCAGAGCATATTTTTATTTATTTAATTTATACAACTTAATTTGTGTGTTTTACATGCAATTCTATTTTTTGGTGAATCTGTTAACTGCAGGCTAATTCAAAATGTCAGAAATGCTTTTTTGATAAAAGTTTTCTAAGTAGAGTCTTTGAATTGCTTAAAAACTCTGGTGCCTCTCAGACATATGCTCAAAAGGTATATTTGGTATGTGAACAGTAGGGTGTAAATGTTTCATAGCTCATTTTGGTGATGCAGTTTATTTATATTTATTTTCCTTTTCTTGCTAGTAGCCTACAAAAACACTTCCTAAACCTGTTCGCAAGGGTCAACAAGATGTCCCAAGGTCTAAAGTTATTATTTGCAGCACGAGAGGCATAACCGATGCTAAAACTGTGAAGCCAAATACATCTTTAGAGAAAAGGAGAAAAAACGTGCCTCCATCTGATTCTGGATCATTTGGTTTGCATGAATGCTCTACAGTTGCGAAACAACAAAAATTATCATCAAAACAAGTTGACAATACTTCTGAAAGAAACCAGTTTTCATCTAATGATTCAGTGAGCGGCAAGGGTTCTCTGGTTGAATCACGTGTGCAGACCCGTGGATCGAAAAGAGCTGCGATTTGTTCATTGGAGAATGCTGTGACAAGTAGTAAACATACAGGTCAACATTTCAAATGCCCTAGAAACAACCTCAAAGATACATGTGGCTCTAAGGTTTGTGGGAAATTCATTATGATCAAAAGATAAATACTATTTCATACTTGCATGCTTAATTTTGTGAATGATATGAAGAAACATATAACATGGAAAAATAGATACAATGTTAGTTTCCTCTCTGTTCTTGTCTATAGCCTTCAGGGTTTTTATTCTTAGATATAAACCAGTCTGTCTTTTATTCCAAGGGATGTAAACCATTCTTAGTCTTTTATTCTTAGAGATATGAACCATTCTCTATAAACTCATTCCAGGCCTTATCTTTATTCTATGTCGGCCTTATCTAATATTAATTGTTGCAAGGTTATAAATGATAGGTGACCCAATGGATAGACTCTGATACCATATAAGATTTTTATTTTGGATCTAACTCTTCTGTGCGAAACCGGTTAGTAGGGGTTGAGTTAGCCTTAGCCCCAACCTAATGAGTTAGGCCCAATATAAAACTTTAGATGGTATCCAAGTCTATTCAAGATCTGTTGGACCACTTGCTATCAAACAACTCAGATCATGCTCCAGATGTCCAGTCTCGGGTGTGAGGTGGGCGAGTCCCACATTGGATGAGACATGAACTTGTGTTTGACTCTTGTAACCTAAATCACTAAATAAACAAAATATTTTGGTAGACTGCTCAAGTATGCTTGTGTTTTGAAGGCGCAAAGCCCTTGATTTTGCAAACGCAGACCATTTTATCAAAAGTTTAAACCATTTATTAGTCAAATACCAATAGTTTAAGCTTTTGGGATTGCTTGAACCTTCAGTTATGAGTAAACAAAATAATAATTGGATAATCATAAATGGGCCCTATATGCAAGTGGAATAATAGCTAACATATTTTGCCTGTAATTTATATTTATAGTCACCAAGAGTCTTAATCATTTTTTTGAATGTTTTCATGGTTATAATTGATGTTAGATTCACAAACGTATAGCCTGTCTCTTGCTTTGAATTTCCTTTTGACTTCAGTCATGTTTTATCCTTTTAACTATGCAACCTTGCCAACATGTTTCTTGTGGAAACAATTGTAACGAATGCCTTTTAACTTTTTTTGTGTAGACACGAAATGCACTGGCAGATGTTTCAAATCAAAATCTTATCTCCCACCGGTGAGTTTTATTTAATGATAACTTTTACTTATTTTTTGTTTAAATTCAAATTTCATTGAACAGTTTCCAAAGGAGATCATAACAGTGTATCCTGCCACTGATACTTTGTTTATTCGGTATTATTTATGGTCTAGTGCAAAACTAATGAAATCAAAGTGATTATTGAAGATAGAGGAGTTTAAAAACTAACAATTCTATGTATCTTCAGGTTAATGCCAACCCTGGTACCCAATATCACATTTTTTGTGTATAGCATTTTTATTATATTTCCTTTAGGCATGAACAGCCTTGGATACTTTTATCCGCAATACCTCTTGTTTTCTGTTTGATTTACTTTTAAAATGCCAAATATAAGGGTAACTGTTGCATATATTGCAGTAATCCCAGTGAGCATTCTTCTCTCAGTAGTATAAAGCAAACTCCTGCTATAGCAGGATGCCGGGCAGCCAAAAAGGGCACATCGCGGTGCAGAAAAAGTAAGTAGTGCAACAATGGGAAAATATATCTTGTGCTGGAATTTAACTGCATACAGTTGATACTATTTGAACTATAAATAGCTGTGGTTTGATGGAAAAGGAGAGTAAAGAATCTAAATAATTCTGATAAGCATTTAATATTGGTAAAAAATATTTCACTGTCATCCATTCATGTGTTTATACATCATTAAAAGTGTCTGACTACGATTTTGCCTTTAAAAAAAGTGTTTTGACTATGATAATGTGCATGGTCAACACATACTTGTATCAATTTGGAAAAAAAAAATTACATCGACATTGGATCATAAAAATTCTTATAATTTAATTTAGCTTATGTTTCATGTCCTCCGAGTTTGATCCTAACTGGACTCAATCTTATTTAGACTTATATATCATCAGCACTTTTAGTGTCTAGGGTTTGGTGAAGGACAAGGATAGTCAGTTTCTGAAGCATTCCAGACTCTTCCTTGTTTCAAATAAATGTAGATAAAAATAGCATAAAATATGATGTAGGCAGACACATTTATCCATAGTTGGAAAGACAATGTAGGCAGCCAAATGTGTAGGCAGCCAAATGACATGTTGGATTCTTGGGTAACAATAAGCAAAATGATCACTGATGCAAAGATAAGACCTAGTTTTTTGCTGCTTCTTTATCCTTCAATCAAAGATAACACGGCTTGAGGTTATGCAGATCTTGCTGCAGCAAGTGTGAACGTTAGCGAAAAGTGTACAGAAGCAATAACATCATCAGAAGTTGACAATACGAGCGTACATGCTGTAAGTTCACCCAGTATTTTGCTGTCCTCTTTTGCTAAAATTGTATCTAGCTTTGTCTGAAATTTATTTTGCTCATATTCCAGGTTAGAAGAACAAGACGGAAAGTATAAATTCCCACCTTCAATTATTAACACTGAATGTGAAAGAGTGTATATTCTAATGTAATTATGCAATTTCATTCATAGAATTCATTACTCTTTCTTGTAGTAGTTGCCTTGGGTAAATTGTGACCGGGAAAAGGATTAAGTCAACAACTGGCAAAGTTCTGTAAATTATGTACTTTAATATTTGTAAAAGTTTTCTATAAGTATTTGTAAAAAATATAAGTATACTAAATCCAGTTTTTTACAACTACATAATGATCTAAATTACTCGACATCTTATAATACCAATGAAATATTAACATTTCTTTTCCTTTTATGTTCTTTCCTATTTGTTATACTATTTTTTATTTTTTTTGTTTTTTTATTCTTTTTATATTATTAATAAAAAAATTTTTTTTTGATAAATAACTCATAATTTTAATATTTTCATATTTTTAAAATGACAAAAATTAGGATGAATGAATTACTTTTAGTGAGTTAAGTAGTTTTTAAAATTGAAGAATACTGGATGTATTTATTAATAAGAATAGGTCCAACATATAGCTATTTATCAGTTTTTTTAAAAGCTAGCATCAGAGAATTTCTTAATACTCTTTGAAATCGGATATGTATTTTTGAAGATATATATAAAAAAATATCTTATTTTTTCAAAAAATAATATTTTTAAATATGTATTTCTGAATAATTTTTTTTAATGAATTTTTTTTAAATACGTATATCTGAAAAGTTTTTTGTGTTCTTTTTATAAATGTATTATTCTTTTTTATAAATTAAAAATTTAATAGTATGTTCTCTAATTAATTTGATGTGAAAAAAAACATTTTCAATAATAAGAAATAAAATAAACATATTTATAATAATAACATAATAAATGTCTTTTAAATTTCTTAAAAATAGTATCTTTAAAACAATACAAAAATTAAATATAAAATATTTAATTATATTGGTAAAATTTTTTCCAATATTGTTAAAATTTTAATTCACTTTTGTTTATTAAATAACTCATTTATTTTAATTATTCTTAATTTATTATAAAATAATTTTTTTTTTTTAAATCTTAAAGTTACTTTGATCTTATTTTTGTTTTATTCATGATTTATTATTTTTGTTTAAAAAAACAGACAGAATTTTTTAGAGATTCATATCTCAAATTGTCATTTTTTTTTTGTAAAAAATAATGTTTTTTTCAAATATATATCTTTGAAAATACTTTTTTTATATGATAAATTCGGATAAACCTATTCCAAAAGTATTTAGAACTTTTAAAAATTTATTAATTTATAAAGGTGTAATAAGAAATTCTCAAACAACAAACACACAATAGCCACAATTTCTAAGGACTAGATTTTTAGCAACTGACATTAGTTTAAACCAGAAACAATTCTAAAACAAACAAATAAATAAATAAATCTTTACACCCTCAGTTAACTAATATATGCAGATATTATCAGTTTAGAACCAAACACACTGCAATAACCAACAACTTTATTTATTTATTTTGTCTCTATTAACGAACAAAAAGAGGATTCAAGCTCACCCCTAAAATTATTCCTGTTACTCTCTTATTTTCATATTGACAAAAATGATCTTGTTATTATTTATCTTAAAAAAATTTACTATGGACATGCAATTAAACTGAAACTTCCGATATCCTTGTTGAAATTTTCGATTTCACGATTTTACAGGAAGTTCGTATTTTTCAAATGAAAATTTTGAAAATTTTAGTATTGATATAGAAAATCAAAGAAACATACAAAAAGTATTTCAAATTTTCGAATAACAACATGATCTATGAAAAATTTCAAAATTTCCGTTATATTATAACTTTTGGCAGTTACCGGAAAGTTCTAGTATATTATAACTTTTGTTTGGAAATTGGAATTTTTAGTGCTGGAAATTTGAAAATTTCAGTAGACAACTACCTGTTACGGTAACCATTAATTTTTTTCAAATTTTCGATAATATTTTGAAATTTCCATTACTCATATTAAGGTTTGGTCAAAATGCCTCAATCTCATTTTCACTCTTGCAATAAATCAATTTAATTGTCCTATCATTGCTAAGATCTCTTGTGGCTCTTCAAGAATCCTTCTTCTCAATCCAATAGCTTGACGAGCACAAGTTGTTGCAGTAATGAGTTCAACTTCTGTAGATCATCAAATAGCTCATGTCCCAATAAGAAAGTATAGCCCGAAATGTTTCTTCTATCATCTTGATCTCATGCATAATCACTATCCAAAAACTTATGCATGATCACTATCCAAAAACTTAAATAATTCAAACTTTTCACCTTTCTTGTAGAACAACCCAAAATCTTTAGTTCCTTGTAAATAGAGAAGAATTCTCTTGACAACTAACAAATGCATTTCTATAGGATCATCCATATATTTATTTATTAAACTAACATAATACATTATGTCAGGCCTTGTTGCTGTTAAGTACATTAAGCTGCCAACAATTCGCTAGTACAGTGTGCTGTCCAGCTTCTTTCCTTCACGATCTTTGTTTAGCTTCAAGCCAAACTCAGTTGGAGTGCTTACGAATTACAATCCTGCATTTTAAATATGTCTAAAATATCTTACACATATTTCTCTTGATAAGTGAAGATCCCATTAGCTAATTGCACTACTTTTTTGTCAAGGAAGTAATGCAATATGCCAAGGTCAGACATTTCAAATTCAATCACCATAGATTTCTTGAATTCTTTCATCATGGCATTTGATCGTACTTGATCAGAGTTGGCATACGGTTTACGATCGTGCCCGTGATATTCATGCGTTTGGCTAGTAGATTTATGAACTTGGTCGGGGGATTCATCCTTTCGTTAGTATGTATGCCGGTTTTCCCCGTAGTATTCTTGTATATGGCTAGCAACGTTATGAACTTGGTCGTGGGATTCATCCTTTGCTAGCGATATTCATGCTATGCTCGTGACATTTATGATTGATATACGTCCGCCGTTAAGGTCGGTGTTTGGTCGAGGTCTACGTGTTCCCCATTTTTCGTACGAATGGCCATTGACTCAGTATGAGTGTTGCTTACTTCTCCCCGTCTGTATGGCGGAAAAGCGGATTTGCTGTCGAATTCACCGGTTTCCTGTACTTTGTAGGTAAATGGCCGATATTCCTGAGTCCTCGGGGCGTAATGATGCCGAGGAAACAAGCACTATCGACGAAAGCATCAATTTGGTCGACACCGTCGACGACCCTACTCTGGATTGGGTTGGTGCTGAACCCCGGGGAATAGCTTCGATCTATAGCTATACCGGTAAACAAGCTTACACTATCGTCGAGTATGGCGGCGACCAGGACGGATTTCGGAGAAACTTTAAGATCATGAGGCCGACGAGGGATGCCCGCATTTTCTCGGAGTTTACACAGGACGCCTTTCCCATGTACGAGATCATATTTAAAGATCTCGGGCTCCGGTTACCTTTCAATGACTTCCAGGTGGGAGTGTTCAACCACTTGAACTTGGCCCCCTCCCAGATTCATCCTAACGCGATTGCCTTTATCCGGGCATTCGAACTCACTTGCCGCTTCCTGAGGATTGGGGCAACGATTCCCCTGTTCTTTAGGGGTTTTCATCTGCAACGGCAGTCCCGAGGAGGGAAGCACAACTGGGTGTCCCTTAAGCAGTCGAAGAGACTGTTTAGGATGTATATGGATTATGTGCGAGATTTTAAGGATAAGTGGTATATTTTGCAACCGTCTGCCCAGATAGCTGTAGATTCGCTGTTCGAACCGGCCGCTGTGGTGGACGAGGACGGGGAGTCGTGTTTGGATGCTGAGGGTAATCCCGAGATTGGGAAAGTCTCAAAGTTTCCCATCCACTGGTGTTCGGGCCATTACGACCATGGACCTGGATACTACCACACTCCTGTTGACGATATGAGCGCTGAGGACGAGGAAGCTTATGGCGTCCTGAACAAGTTTGTCGATGGTTTCTTCCTTGCTCGGTGGGTTACGAGGGAAGGGGACGACGTTCTTGATGAGGATGGCGAGCCGATTTTTGAGGCGCGTCCGATCAACACCAAGGCGCTCGTCGAATGCTAGTCTTACGGGCAGGTCGTAGATCTCTTAGGTTTGTTGCTTTGCTCTATTGATATTCCTCTTTATTTGTTTTCTTCAATGTATGTGGCTAACCCAAGTGCACTTCCTTTGCAGGTCACATGGCAGAGCGTCGCGAGAGGTTGCTGAAGCTGACTCAAGACAAGAAGATCAGCAAGAGGTTGGTGAGGCCGCAATAAGCCACGCGGATGGGCCCGGACCCTGAACCGGGAAGAGAAGGATCTAGTTGGTCCTCGGGTTCCCCGGACATCGAGCGCCAATCTGCTTTGATTAGCAAGAAACAGAGTCGACCAGATGATGGGGTCGAAGTGACCGATGGAGGGGCGGGTGCCCGGACCTTCAACCTGCCACCCTATTTTATGGAAAAGGATTTCTTCGAGGGGTTTCCCTTGTCCGTATCCGACAATGAGGCCGACATCATCAGGCGGCTCAACAAGGAAGGTCGGAGGAAACACCTCGCTGCCAGCATGGTCGGGGTGGTGAAAATGGCCGAGATGGCAGTTGTCCTCACGGTCGAAGGGTCTGACTCCTTGGATCGGGTCAACGAGCTGGAGTCGGAGAAGGCGAATCTTGTGGCCAAATCCCGCAAACTGAAGGCTTCCCTCAAACGCTCTGAGGAAATGTTTCGTGAGCAGTCCGACGTGTTATCGGGGGAGAAGGAAAGGGCCGACAGAGCTCTCGAGGAAAAAGACTGCCTCCAGCTTGATAAGGAGCGGTTGGAGAGTGACAACCAGCGGCTGTCGAGAGAGGTCGAAGACCTAAAGGCTGTTATACTTCCCGCGGAGGACGAGCCAGAAGGGATGGTCGACTTACGCACGCGCTCTGACTTCATCGCTCATATTCAACTCCTGAAGTCAGACTGTGTTGGGGCTTTGGCCGATGGCTTTGAGTCTGCGGTGAATCAGCTGTCTGTGCTAAATCCGGGGTTGAATACCG